AATATATAAAAATAAGGTAAAAATTATCATTTATTATATAATTTAAAATTAAAAAAAAAAAAAAAGGAGAGAGGGGGTAAAAAACGTCAAATCTCCAAGTGCATTTGGGTAGATATCTTAACTCGTTTGCTCTTTCACCATCACTTGATATAATATTTGGCAATCATTGAACCATATATGCCTGCCCTCATAATCAATTTAATTTAATGCTTGCACATCTGAATCTGAAGAACCATTAGTTTACATTTCTTTCTCTTTTTCTTCCCACCCTTCTCTTCTCTTCTGTTTGTGTACATAAGATGGTGCAATGGCGTTTAATGCTTTAATCTCCATTACTCACGAGTCGCGACTACAAATTTTGTTAATATGGAAATGGAATTACTTGCTTGCTTATAGTTTATAGAAAAAATTAAGTAGAAACAATTTTTTTAAAATAAGAAACAAGAATTTATTAAGCGTTGAAGAATCATTGGCTCAAAAAAATTATGTTGGTTTTGTGTAAGTTTTTAAAATACATATTGAGAATATAATATATATATATATATATTTTTTGAACATATTTTGCAAGGGGTGGGTTTCGAACCCTACTCGAAAAAATGCACCAATGACAATGCCACTAAGCTTCAAGGGTCAGGTGCTATAATAATAAATAATAATAATAAATATATTTTAAAAAAATTAATTACATAAAAATTTATAAAAATTAATATTTATTTTAATATTATTAATATATAAATAATTTTAATTGATTAACTAATTAATTTAAAGTCAACATTTATTATTTTTATATAAATTAATTATAAAAAAATAGCTTTTAATTTATATTTTAAGAGTATATATTAAAAATTTTAATTAAATTTAAAATTTTTAATTAAATAAAATAAAAAAAACTATTTTAAAAAAATAACGAGATTGTTATTATTATTGTTATTAAGAGTATAAAGATGAAAAAAAATAAAGAGGAAAAACCAAAACAAATTTCTTGGCAGGGAAAGTCAAGGATTTTCCATGTCAGGTTGGTGGTGTTGTTGATGACACTGCTCCAAAAGGCATGGGACTTGGATTGGGTGCACGCAAACCAACGCAGAACTTATTCTCTCTCTTTTTTTTTTTCCTTTTTCGGGTGTCTGTTCAAAGATTTTTTTTTTTTTAACAAAATGATAAGAGTAAGGTTCGAACTTTCAACCCAATAGAAGAATTGCACTCTCAAGATGACCCGGAGATCGCTTGAAGGGCCAGATGCGTTCAAAGATATTTCTTTTGAAACTGTGAAAGCATGAAAATTTATTTTATTTAAGTACAAAAAAAAAAAAAGAAATATTAAGATGAAACAATTCAATTACAGCCTTAATGAGAAACAAACCAAAAATTAATCCTCCAATAAATATGCCATATATATTATATATAAGCTCCTGAATTTCACTGCTATTCCAACAAACACTCTTCCTCCTCCAGATTCTTTCTTCTCACCTTCCCCTGTCTTCCCCAAGGACCTCAACCAAACACATTCTCATCAACTTCCATCCCACAAAATAAAAACAAATTCATGATACTACAACATTAATTTGGAAGTATTGAATTTTTATTTATTGATGTTGAGGAGGGAAGGATATTGTTGTTTGTTCACCTGTAAACCTGGGAAAGTCTGGGGAGTTTTTCTTCGAGGGGATATTTGATTGCATCCATGACATCACTGTCGCTCTCGCTTTGTCTAGGATGAACGACTCTGCATACAGGGTTCAAACCACTGCTCGTCTTGCCCAATGGAGGATAGACAATCTTGCTTCTTTCTCCTACCGGAAATCCGATCCCTTCAAGATCGGCAAATGGAACTGGTAACTCTCAAAAAAACATCGTCTTTATTCAGTTTCCTTCTTCAGTTTGTTTGGCAGCTGAGAAAGTGTGTGCTTTTATGATGAGTTTGGTTTTGACTTTTGAGGATGGATCTAATTCAGAGGAAAGTAATAATAATAAAAAAAAAAAACATAATCTTTCTTCAATTTGGCTTCTGGGTTGTTGGTTTCTTTTTATGAAAGATCTCCAGTGTTTCTATTCTATGAATGATTGTTGTTTGGCAGCTGAGAAAGTGTGTGCTTTTGTGGGTTTGTGTTTTTGAGGACATAGGTGGAGATTAATTTTAATTTAACCCCTTTTTATTTTTTGGATTCAAGGCATTTGGTTCTGGAAAAGAACAGGGTTTTATTTGTTAAATTATACCCAGAGATATCTAATTTAACCCGAGAGAATCCTCCGATTGCATCTTTCATAATCCGGGTGGTCTCTTCAGCTGGAGATCGAAAGTCTCTCACTCATCCAGGTTTGTCCTTAATGTTTTTGCAATTCTACCTGCAAAATAGGAAATTGATGCTATATTTCTATGGAATTCAAATTGATTCATCTTTCACTTGATTCACACGTAGACTTTTATGATTTTGTTATCTGATGACAGATGCTAAACATTTTGCCACCTGAGGCACCATTTCAGTTCAGGGGATAAGAAACTGTTTCCATGTCCATATATTGTTATACATATATCAATAAATGTTACTTGCCTTTTTCTGAGCCTTTTCAACTCATTTTCTTCTTATGACATACATGCAGAAATAACAGACAAGCAACTGAAGAACAACGACGATTTTGTTTGGGCAATTGAGGTTCCTTTAACAGGGAAATTCATCATTGACGTCGAATTTGTTGATTTGAAGATTGCATCACTAGAGGTACAATAATGAAGTTGTTCCCTCCTACTTTTCTGGTTTATTGTGATTTAAAAGGATTTAACTTTTTCTTTCCGTTGCCGTAAGGAATAACTATGCATAGTTTAGACTTTAAGAGAAAAAAATCTCCATAAGCATATATACCATCAATTCAAATCCATGAAAACAAAAATTATCAGAGAATATAATGTGCTAAACAGCAAGAATGCTGTCAACATTATACCTAATTTAACTATAGTGTTCCTCTGATATGCAGGGTGGGGAACCTTGCTCCATCTGGGCTGAAGGATTCAGCCAGAAGAGATCAAATGCAACAGCTCTTGCATCCCTTGGTCGAATGTTGACAGAAGGCATTCACACAGACATTATAATTAATGCCTCCGATGGAAGCATTGGAGCTCACCGTGCTATTCTTGCTGCAAGATCACCTGTTTTCTGCAGCATGTTTTCACATGACCTGAAAGAGAAAGAACACTCAACAATTAATATCTGTGATATGTCAATAGAAGCTGTTCAGGCTTTTCTCAGTTACATTTATGGGAACATTCAACATGAAGAATTTCTCACACACCGATTGGCTCTTCTCCGTGCAGCTGATAAGTATGATGTATCTGACCTGAAAGAAGCATGCCATGAGAGTCTTCTAGAAGATATTGATGCAAAAAATGTCCTTGAGAGATTGCAGAATGCATCCCTCTATCAATTGCCAAAACTGAAGTCCAGTTGCATGATATATCTCGTAAAGTTTGGTAAAATATATGATATCCAAGATGAATTCAATGCTTTCCTGCATTCTGCAGAGAGGGAGCTTGTAGCTGAAATCTTCCTTGAAATTCTCAATGCTTGGAAAGGTTTCTAAACTTCTGCCTACAAAGAAAGCAGGGGAAAGCATGTTAAGTCATTGGTTATATTCGTCCATTAAACAGATTGCTAGAAAGATTTAGTGTGAAGGATTGGTGCGAGGTTATTTTTTGTGCACGTAGAATTTATTCATGATTTCATGTAAATACATCTGTTTATTTGACATGAACAATGTATCCCTGGTTAAAACTATTCATGTGTACATAATGATTTGGATGAAATTTAAAACTTTTCCCTTCAGACTCTGCCATGCACAAGAAATGAAGCATTGAGATTTTCTTAGGAACTCTTAACTTCCAAGCATGGTTTCTGACTATTGTAATCGCTGAGGAATTGTCTACCTTTTTGCCTTGTCGATTACGCCGAGTTGACTGACACCAACTAATCTTTTTGAGTTTGAAGCAGGCAAACAGAACACAAGCAAACAAAACATGCCATTCAATCAACATCATGACAATTTTGCAGTTACAATAGATATGAATCTCCAGTTACCATATTAAAGAAAGGGTTGAAGCTGCAAGCATCATGAGGTATTCTCTTTTATTCAAGAGTCTTATTTAGTAGTGAATAGAAATTCTTAAAACCCAAAGAAAGCACCCGCAATACTAAATTGAATATGGGTCTTCGGGAACCGCATAACTGACAGGATGCCTCACCAGTTACCAAGCTTGTGCTCTTGGAAAATGATGAGGGTAATGAAAACTACTAAACCTGGAAGAAAGAATTCATCAAACAGTTTTAAGTACTTTCCACTAGCAGGAAGAATTAAAAGAAAAAAGGCTTTTTAGTTGATATCTGAGATCAAACAGTATTCTGTGTTCTGTCAAACATGAAACATTGCAAATTTGACTAAAAGCTGAAAGCAATGAAGCCAGAAATACACAATTTATAGGAACCCTCTAATGAACAAGGGATGACATTTTTAATAAACACTGGAAATACGAAGAAATCTACAAAAAGCACACTACTTTAGACCCAGTTCTCAACACCCAAATTGCAGACAACTGGAAAATCGCCGTAACAGAATCCAGAATAGGAATTTTATGTCAGATCTGAGTAAATCAATAGCCTGAATCCCAGGATAATCCTCACAAAAAGCTTACAGGTACATGCTTTCAGGACAAAAAGAATAGATCTGTGTGCGTGAGAAAAAAAAGAAAAAAAAACTTACCTTTTACGAAACCCAGAAAGCTGAAGATTCTACCAATCAATAACAGAGGGTCTCTCTCCAAGAACGAGGGAAACAGGAGGGAGGGAAGTGGGAACAAGAAAACTTGGGCAGAGTTGAGAATAATGGAGGGAATATTATTTGGATCTTTATGCTTCTTTTCACTGTTTTGTTTTTTGGGTTGGACATTGCCCAACAAATCAAACCCATGGAGCAGTCACAGTCATAGAGGACCCCTTTGGGACCATACAAAGTGTACAAGCAAATTTGGGAATTGGCAGTCAGGAACACTGCTAGAGATCAAACCTTTGACCTTGCAGGCATCCATTTTTGGGCTAAAACTAACTTTAGCTCCTCATCTTACAAAAATGGTAAGTTTTAGTTTCTAACCTTATAATATAACATTTATAACCCTTTACCTTACAAAATTAATAGATTTTAACCCTTTACCTTACAAAATTGATAGGTTTTAGCCATTCACCTTATATTATGACAATTTTAACCCCTTATCTATACGAATTGAAGAAAATAACTCCTATTTAACATCATGTTATAATGTTTTATTAGTTTCATTAATTGATTATTAGTTTTGTTAACTGACTATTAGTTTTGTTAATTGACTGTTAGTATCTGTTAGCATTCCGTTAATGAAACTAACAAATAAAATTAAATTTAAATTTCATGTTTTTTTATAACGAAATGCTAACGGATGTTAACAGTCAACTAACAAAACTAACAGAATGTTATAACTTGATGTTAGGTGAGGGTTATTTTTTTTAATTCATATCGATGAGAGGCTAAAAGTATCATAATATAAGGTAAAGGGTTAAAACTTACCAACTTTGTAAGGTGATGGGCTAAAACTTACCAATTTTGTAAGATAAAAGGTTAAAACTGTTATATTATAAGTTGATGAACTAAAACTTATTAATTTTGTAAGGTGAGGGGCTAAATGTTAGTTTTTACCCTCATTTTTGGGTGAAAGTGAAATCCTAGATGAATCATTAGCCAAGAAAATAGCCAACATAATATATACTGTATATAGAATAATAATCTTTGAATTTCTGTAATAGTAAAATTGTAAATTTGGTCCTCCAGCGTTTATATATTGGGCACTTCGATCTCATAACTTCGGATTCATTCATTTAGGTACTTAAAGGGCCCTTTCTTCTCACCATTCAATAGCTTAACTTTCAAAAGATATTCAATTAAGGTCAAATCCCCTATTTGTATAACGCGCATTTTTTTTTTTTTATAATTAACACCTTTTATAATTTTTATTTCAGTTAATGCTTTTTATAATTTAAAACTTATAAAAAATCTTAAATGGTTAACAAAATCAAAACATAAATAAAGAATTTAACAATTAATTTTTGAGTTTTTTTACTAATTTTAAATTATTAAAAGTGTTAATTAAAAAAATTTTAAAGATGTTAACAAAAAGAAATTAATATGCAAGGGCAAATAAAAATTTGACTTTCAATTAATCCCCAAAACTCTTATCATTATGCATCCAGTCCTTTTTTTTTTTTTTTGTCATGTTTGCTTTCTTCTTCCTCCACTGTTTTTCGTCACTAGGGTTTCATCAAATTTTTTCACCAATTTAGCAAAAATCAAGGACAATCAAGAGGACGAGTTATGGGTCTCTAGTGGCTTTTTTGTCAACTACATCCAGTTCCTTTTGCTGTTCTGATCAACTCGTTTCTCTTCCACCTCATCTATCGTACTTCTCATCTCAACGACAATGAGTACCGATGAAGGAATTTTTCCCAAATTTGAATCAAGGCTTCATAGAAACAATCTGGGTTTTCCAAAACAATGAAACAAAATGAAAAATTTTCTTTCTCATAAACAAAATTTTCCCCTGAATATTTGGTGAATAATCATCAAAATTCCAAGCATAAGGCCTTAGAATTCAGGTTAGTTTTGCCCCGGATTGAAAAGCTAGTTCTCGCGCTAGGAAGACAAACAACGGCTAGCCTTGCCCTTGCACATCGTTGCACAAGCCTTGCAGTGGCGTGAATCCTGTGAGCATCGCCATCCTCAATCTGGGTTTGTCTCGTGAGAACCTAGTTCGATCTAGGTTCTCGAAATGAAAGAAGCCTAGATCCCTCTACGTTTTCTTGAGGCGAACTTAGATAAGCTTCGAAAAGAGAAAACAGAAGGGAGGAGAAGACAGAAGGAGGAAAATGAAGAATAGCCAGTTGATGGAGAGGAGGGAAGAAGACTAAAGGAGAAGGGGGAGAAGATTAACCCACCCAGACAGTCAACAAAGTTTCATCATTTGAGGCCATGGAGTGAGCCTTATCCATGCATGAACAGAGAAACCCAGAGCTGGATTCCCTCTTGAAGGTTGTCCATGCTCGTGAGACAGCCATGCTTGTGAAGCAGATCTGCAAAAGCTAATCAATTTTCAAGAATTGATTTTTTGGATAGTTTTGTTTGCTGCAAGGAAAATTAAAAGAAATTAAATCAATTACGGTTTTGCAAAATAAAACCAGGTAAGGAAAATAAGGTTATTTGGGGATTAGAAAACAAATCGGAGGGGGACTATTCATCAGCATTTTCATTTCTTAATCCCCATATGAAGCTTCCATTAAGGTTATTCTTTTTGCCCTCCAACAATTCAATTAACAATAATCTAGGAGATCTCCAAATTCAGAAAAAAGCAAGGTGAAAGAGCTAAGTGATGGTGTGTGGTTGCCCATATCCTAGAGTTAGAGTGCATAAGTAATGCTTAGGCGGTCTAGCCATCTAGGTGGTTTTTTTTTTAATAATAATTTTTTGATATAATTCTAAAATAATAAGAAAAAAATGTAAAACAATTTAAAAAACATAAAATAAATAAAAAAAATTAAACATTTTTCTATTCATTATTATGTCTAAAGAGTAAAATTTAAGAGAATTACTTGGAATTTAATGTTTTTTAATATAATTTTTATAATGAATTAAATGAGATCATTTCATTAGGTTAAAAAAATTAATAAAGAGCATTTGCTCAAGTACTTTAGGTGTTATTAAGCACATTTAATAATGTTTGAGTGTACTAGGTGTTATTAAGCACATTTAATAGTGTCTGAACGTACTTAATTAATCTAAGTGGTATAAACCGTATTGAATTTCTACAGATGGAATGGCATTGCCTAAAGTTTAAGCTGATGCAAGCAGAATGACATTGCCTAGATACACTTTTTACAACATTGAAAAAGAGAAATTGATTACCCCTTGATTTTTTTTTTCTTTGAATTGATTTCATGGTGGTGTTGTAAAACGACAAATTTCTATTTCTTTATTTGTATATGAATTTTATGTTTCTTTATCTCTCCATTTGTGTGGGAGGAGTGGGCGAGAGAATGTAGGAAGAGAGAAAGACGAGTAAGGGGAAAGAAGATGGGAGTAAGGTTGTAATTTCCTTTCATAGTAAAAATTAACTTCTAAAGTTTAGGTTGATGCAGGCGGAATGACATTACCTAGACACACTTTTATAATATTGAAAAAAAGAAATCGATTAACCCTTAATTTTTTTTCTTTGAATTGATTTCATGGTGGTGTTGTAAAATGACAAAATTCTATTTCTTTATTTGTATATGAATTTTATGTTTCTCTATTTCTCCATTTGTGTGGGAGGAGTGGGCGAGAGAATGCAGGAAGAGAGAAAGACGAGTAGGGGGAAAGAAGATGGGAGTAAGGTTGTAATTTCCTTTCATAATAAAAATTAAAGATTTTGATGAGCTTTTAAAAACAAATGATTTAGGAAATTTTTTTTTGTTATTTTTTATATAATTTTATATGTTACTTAAATTATTTATTTATTTATTTATTTAAAATTTATAATATTAAATACATTTATTTCATTTAATGTCATATAAAAATAATATAAAAAATAATAAAAAATTTATTTCTATGTCATCAACCGTTTTTAAATAACCACATTATCAAAAATGGTATTAATTAATCTGAGTGGTCTCATTTAATGTGTCCACCTCATCAAAATTGCAACGTTGGGTAATATTGGGTCCAAAGATTGCCGCGTCATCCCAAGGTTAAAGGTAAAGCAAATGATAGACAGAATATTGACGTGCCAACTCAATTTAAGGTATTTATTTCAATCAAATGATATGTATGGTAATTTATTTTAACATAAAAAACGTAAATAAAAAAATTACAAAAAATAATAAATAGAATAATTTCAAGTAATTTTTAGAAAAAGAACATAGATTAAAATACCTTTTTTTGTCATTTTTTATATTTCAAACAAAAAATAATTTAAAAATAATTTTTTTATTTTCTTTTAATATCATTTTATGTGT